TGGCAAAATTTTGAGTGGAAAATCAAACATGTTTTGGATTTTATGAAAGAAAATACTGTACCACTAACCTACTGAGAAATACCAGTCACACAACTTGCGGGTCGACCTGTCATAAGGTTATCGGGTTGGAAGCATCAGCGGATCCAGGATATAGTAGAGCATTGGGCCGAATTTGAATAAAAAATTAGACACCGTAAACAAAAAATAAATGACGACTATATAGTTTTCATTACAATGGCAATTGTACATGACGGTCTTTTAATTTAGCGAATTCATCAAATCATGGAGTCTTCGTCCATATCAATAACATACTCTATTTCAAAGAAAATAGTTAAGCAATTAGCGAGAAATTAATTGCTCATTTTGTTGCGCAAATAAGTTATCACATGTTTTCATTGCAGAAAATGTTATCTCCGCAATAGTAGTCTAAACGAGCTAGGTCAACAATAGACGAATAAACCGACAAATCAATTTGTATTGTGTATCCATCACTGTTTCGACTAGTTTCTCTAGTAATTTTGCAAGGGAAGAAACTTCATATTCATGACTATGAACCACACGAGCGGCATACTATCGTAGATCATTATTCAAAGAATGCATATAATAGCATTCAAAATCTCGAGGATAAACTCTTGAGCAAGTTTGTAAACATTTTCTTCATCAAAAGACCGGATATAACTTTTAGGATCTAGTGTACCACTCAACTCAAGCAATTTAAATGATGACTCAACAAGTTTGTAAATATTTTCTTCATCAAAAGACTGGAAAGAAATCAGCGCCCGACGAACTAGCGGAGGAATTCGTTTCGAGTCCGTTCGTCTCTTCGTTCTAATTTTGATTTTTGGGATTGGAGGAATTTTTGGAGTTCTGGCAGAGAAGTGAAAAATTTAGTTTAGAGGTTATTTTTTATTTCAATGAAACTTTACTCTTTTAGTCTCTTACGTGTAAGGCTTTTAGGTTCCAATGTTTATTTTATTCATTTCGAATGAATTATTGGGGCTTGAATTTTTAGTCTAAATTTGGAATAGTGGTATGCATATATTCATCTAGACTATTTTGAAAGTCACACAAAATCATATTATCAAATAACATTGAACCGACTTTAAAATATTACTGCGCTGAACACCTAAAATCGAAAAATTCATAAGTACTACACTAGCTCTAGATCGGAGGAGGACTGGGCTGTGGCCCGGGGTGGCCCAACCCTAGATCCGCCACTAGTTGGAGGTCACACGACGTCGTTTTTCTCTCTGCTTTTCGAAATGCGCTTCTTTTTTTCCTCTTCTTTGCCTAACTCTATTTTTGGAATTCTAAGTTAAACATTTGAATATTGATGCTATATGAGCGCGTATGAATTTTCACTATACGTTGGATCCAAGTACGATATATTATTTTGGTGTAATTTTATATGTTATTATTCATATATTAAATGATATTTGATATAATTTATAAATGTACAAACAATATAATGAATTTTTCACATATTCGGGCTAAAATGGGCTAAAGTGATCTGACCATTAACCTTCAACTCACTTACTTGACCCCGACGAAGGGGCTAAGCGGGTTGACAACCTTGATGGAAACTGATAATCATATCTCTAGACTGTATAACATTTGGTGCTTCCATTTTTTCACTTGGTTTATGAATGATCATTAGGTATCATACATGTATATGTCCCAAATTAAGAAGAGGAAAGGAACAGAGAATTTCAACCAGCCATTCTAGTTTTCCCCACAACTAATCACTTCAGAAAATGACCATATTTTGCGAGCGGAAAAAAATTTGAACATAAATGAAATGATGGTAGTTGAAGGCAACTACGCACAACGATCAATTGGATGATGTATTAGGTTAAATTACTACCGCTGTGATAAATTAAAATGGAAGGAGAGTGAGAGTCGATGATTGAATTCAGACCAAAATGTTCAATGTGTGTGGTTTTTTTTTTTTTTTTTTTGACAAAAGATAATCATATATTGATCAAAGAAAGGCAAAGTTACATCCTGGATAACAGCCAGGTCTGGAAATTAAACGCGCGACACAGAGACGGGTACAAAGTAAGGGCCTTTCTAGCCACAACATGGGCTACCCTATTGTTCCTCCGTCCAACGAATCGCAAACTAAATCCTGACTGGTTTCCCACACCCTGCAGAATTTCTTCTAAAAGCACCCCTATCCTACTGTCCCGAACATCCGCTTGATAAATTTTATCCACAATGATCTTGGAATCCCCTTCAAAGCGAACTCCCTGAAATCCATTGGCCACACACCAGGAGATAGCATCTCGCAGAATCAGCGCCTCTGTCACCAACGGATCATCAATAAACTGGTACTGGATCCCTTGTGCCCAGAGGATTCTTCCATGATTGTCCATGAGTACCATCCCACCCGCCGAGTGAGACCCCGCTCGAGTAGCCCCATCCCACATACAAACCAGCGAAGTACCTCCCGCCATCTCTGTTTGGTTGTTCATCCTCCTTTGGCTCACCTCAGTCTTATCGGACATAGTCCGGTCCCACTCCTCGCACTGCTGATGAAATTGCCGCATCAGACTATTCCAATTTTAACAGATCTTTTTGTCTAATAATTTTGTAGTAAGTTATTGATACAGATCGGAAAACAGGAACCGATCAATTGTATCTCGGCTCTGAATCACTGTCCAACTCCAGTCCTAATTTTTGTTTGTTTGTGATGGTGTGAAGTAAAGGCAGTTTGCAATTTTCAGACAATCTTTAAGATTTGCTTACTAGATCAAATCATAACATATTATCATTTTCCAAGTTGGTAATCCGCCAATTTTGGACTTTATTCAACACCCAAAAAAAATGGGTGGACTTCTGATTTGTAGGCAGAATTAAAGATCAGCAGCCATTAAAAACTTCATCATGGTGATTAACCATCATTGTCAATTGGTTTGACCTTTTTGACAGATACATCACAACCTGATGGCTGGCTGGCTGGCTGCTCAATCCCATGCATTTATATGTTTCCATCTGCCTATGATACTTATCTTTTGTCCTGTTTTTCATGACATCCTTAAACAGGACAGGCCTGCTGATGATTATGAACAGCCCATTTCAGGCTAAGTTCATGCTCTAGGATTTTTGGATTATAAAAATCTGGTTTAATTTTGGGCAGATATCATAACAACTACTTCTTCCTTCAGATTGGTTGATTTAATCTTTTTAGGGATTGATAGGGTTGATAATGGGAGTTGTTGGGATCAACTTGGGGACTATAGATTTCTGGACTTTATTCTTCTTTTAATGCCATCATGAGTCATGTAAAGTCCTTTTCTTTTTCTTTCTTTGTTTCTCCACTCTCCTGGCACCTTGAACATGTCAGGATTTTTGGAGGCTGTCTTGGTGTTCCCATCAAATCATTCATCCCAAAACCAAGCTTTGAATTCCAAGTCTGTCCTCCATGGTGGGAATCCACAAATATTATCTAACTTTGTTGAACAAACATTCATCACATATTCGCTACAATACGAGTTGTCATTTGAAAGCTCAGAGTTTCATCGTATGTGGGTTTGCTAAATGCCTTCTCTAACAAAAAAGTAGGTTCATTGTCGGAATTGAAGTTTGCAATGACATATCAATGATGATATTATATACTTTTAAAGAGATGATAAATTACTTGTAGGTCTCGTCAATCACAACCTCGAGATTGTCATATTATCATAACTACAAATTATGTCAACATGGGTTACTCACGCAAACATTGGATTGGATGTATACACTTATGCTAACATGAGAGTAAACCGTGAATATAAAAAAACGGTGTATCAGAAGACTTTAACACTATAGATTTGTAACCCGTTGAATTTGTCTTAAGAACTTAAACACGACCGAATTTCACCAATGATAGTCGTCCCTAAACTTGTTTGTCTAATAAGAGACTTGAGGTTTGGAAATATCAGGAGCCATTCATTGTCTTCAATCTGACTTGGGGGATCTTAATTAATTAGTGGGTTGGTGTTAGTGGAGAGGAATTGAAATGCTTCCCTTTGTTGAAAATTTAAGGTATGCAATTGCTCCTCTTTTGGAATTATTGGAAGTCTGTCTCTTCTGTGCTGGATTTTCTGAACCATATGCAGTTTGTGAGTTGGGGTGGAGAAAATCAGCCCTTAATTAGCCTGCTGATTCAAGAAAATTGACTGCAGAACCTCAAAGGGAAAATGGATTAGGAATATCAGGTTTGATTAGCAGAAAATCTCGTCCCAAAAAGAATTTAGGTATGAGTACACTAATGGCAAAGAGCTCATTTTGCTTGACATGGGATTGTATTTGCAGTCGTTTTTTGTTAACTCTGTGTAGTAGTTGACATGTTCTTACATAAAAATTAACTATTTAATGAAATTGTTCGAACTCAAACTAGATTTATTTTTATGATGGTAATAACGTTTTATTGAATAATTAGAAGGAAATTTAACATGCGGTAAAAAAAGGGGACTTGTTCAAACTCGAACAAGTAATTGACTTCAACACAAAAATCGGTAGTCATATATTTGCAGCTCTAACACAAGCCACCTCTTACCTCAGCCAACATGAAGAGATAATAATTTAGGCCTAATTTAGACCACATTCACAGACTTAAATTGTCATCACCATCACATACAAACAAATATTTATATTTATTAATTCATATTTGGAGTAAAATAAAAATCATGACTCTTGACATGACTTTGATTTGGGTTACAAATCAGTAAATGTTCTTTGCATAAACATTTCATCATCATAGTGCTCCATATTCAATTATGCTTTCTTCAGCTCCCAGAGGTAAACATGACCGATAGGAAAAAGTATAAAAAAGAATCGATCAAACTTCTATGAAGAATATCTTCGTGCAAATGTGATCCAACAGTAAATGAATTTGGCCTTTATTGTGGTTGAACACATGTTCATATTCCATTATGACAATTAGAGAATCAAACTGTGTGTTTTGATCCATTTATCACCATAATCTAGCTCGCAACCATCATGATGAAGATTTAGCTATACTTTAGCGAATGACCTCGTAAAATAAACAAAACTTAGGAGAAAGAAGGAAAAAAGACCTATCTAACTTTTTTTTTTTGTGGGTACTCCTAATTTGCCCCCTTAATTTTTAGGAGAATACAAACTAGTCCCCAACCTTCTATACAAATCTGTATCAGAATGAACAGTTTTACTACTACTACTTCTACCCTTCTTTGATTTGCTTGACCTCTTCCTCCTCCTACCTTCCACCTTAAATTCACCCTCACCACCATTCTTATGCTCATCACAATCCTTATCGTCTCTGGATTCATTCTTCTCTTCCAAACACTTCATCACAACACCTTTCTCTTTTGTGCCTTCACTTGGCACAATGTACACAAAGAACCCAATTGAGATGTCATTGAGCTCTAGCAAGCCCTCCAAGGTCTTGACCACTTTGGTCATTGTGGGTCTGCATTTGGCCTGGTGGCTAAGGCATTGGTGAGCCAAAGCTGCAGCCTTCTTGGCACCTTCAATTGAGTATTGGCCTTCGAGCCTTGGGTCCATTATTTGGTCAAGTCTTTGAGTGTCCTTTAGGAATGGCCTTGCCCATTTTATAAGCACTTGTTCTCTAGGTGGCAGGTTCTTGTCCACTGATCTACGGCCCGTTAGAAGCTCCAATAGCACCACTCCGAAGCTGAACACATCGCTCATTGTTGTCAAATGACCTGAAAAATATTTTGTTATAGTAATATGAGTTAAGACAAGTATGAGATATCATAAAATAAAATAAATTAGAAAAGTTGAAGAAAATGTGGTTCAACAAAATATAATTGAATCATCCAACTTGTCAACAACCAAATTTTAAAGACGAAATGATCCGAGATGAAAACAATTCATAACTCGATGTCCTAACTCGATCTACCACCAGTATGATTGATAGGTAACTTGACTAATTTGCAACCTGATTGATTCACAAGTCAGTCAACCGAGAACCAGATTAGCAACTAATCCAATTAACCTACAATTGAATCAATCTCTAACTGGTTTGACACAAACCTGGTTAATCCGACCCCGCGATCCCCACCCAGCTTGCCCGTACGACCCCTCAAAATATCTAGTACGGTTAAACTTTGACACAACTTGACCAACCGATCCAACCCGCCCACGACCCATGTTGATGAAAAGACAATGACCCATGCATAACCGATGCCGATAAATTGCAACCCGATTAACCCATTATGCAAAATGACCCATAACTCATAACTCAACCAACCCAATCCAATTGAACCAGATACCGATTTAACATTTTTTATATATAAAAAAATGTTAAATCGGTATCTGGTTCAATTGGATTGGGTTGGTTGAGTTATGTATATATATATATAAGGGTGATAATGACGATCTTAACACTTAACCGTTGGTTACTAGTTAGTGGGATTTTGTACCGGTTGATATATATTCAGGAGCAGCATAGCCTTCAGTCCCCATCACTTGAGCTGTAACATGGGTTTCATCCCCTTCTGGCCCATCTGTCGCCAGCCCAAAATCCGAAAGCTTTGCATTGTACTCCTGCTCACAAAGAAATCCACCAATTGGCTCAGAAAAGAAACCCAAAATCACCAATTAATTAAAGCTGCAGCCTTTCCAATTTCTTCTGCTAAAGGACAAGGAGAAAAAAAACAGAGTACATAAATCCTCTGCTTACCGAGTCCAACAAGATATTGGAAGTCTTGAAGTCGCGGTAAATGACCGGCTTCTGCTCCTCGTGGAGGAAAGCCAGCCCTTTTGCTGCCCCAAGTGCGATTTTCAGCCTTGTTAGCCACGGCAGAGCTGCTGCATAATCTGCATTGATTTTTCATTCAGTGTTCATTAAACATGTTGATCATGATCAGAAACTCAATATAAAGATGGAAACTTTGGATTTGAATTGGGGCTTTTACTTCTGAAAAGGAGATGCTCAAGATTGCCGCGCTCCATGTATTCATAGACCAGAAGCCTCTGTTCATTCTCGCAGCAGTATCCGATCAAGTTCACGAGGTGGTCGTGCTTCAACTGTCCAAGAAAGATCACCTCTGCCTGCAACAAATTAAGTGAACCCAAGACAGAGGAAAACTCGAATTAGGAAATATGATCACTAAAATTTTGAGTCACTGTTACAGAACTTTAATTTTTTTAACCAACTTGTTATGTGAAGTTCGGAATAACTAAAACCGTCAAGTCTTTTCTCCAAATCGTTTAAATTAAAATGTCAAACTCAACAATATTGGCTAGCTTGTACAATACGTTTAAACTCATATGCGATCCAGACTCGATTTTTTTTTTTACTCAACTCGATTTCAATATTTGTAGACAGAGGGGTCAGCATGATATATTTTCTGATTCGGGCGAACTTTTGACACCATCATTTGGACAAATTTGGACGAAATGACAATCGTATTAGTTGTTCTAAATTTTGGTGACAATTTCATTAAAAAAATCGAAATGAAATTGAAGCATTTGTTGATGACCTATAAAATTTTTAAGTGATTGTTTATGCAATTGATAAGATCACTTACCAACCATTCCCTATGACCCTGGGAGCCATCCAAGTCCAGGACTTTGACAGCAACAGGTTGAGCTTTCAAGCCTGGCCTGAGCTTGGGATCAACAAACCCTTTGAAAACTGTACCAAACCCACCTTCCCCAAGGTAATTGCTCCTGGAGAAATTGGCTGTGACCTTCTGGAGCTCTTTCATGGTGAAGATGTGGAGGTTGAAGACAGGGTTTGAGAGGTCACTCATCACTGAGAGCTGTGATTGTGGGCCACTCCAATCCAAGAGTGAGATCCTGTTTGAAGAAGATGAAGCACCATTCTTCTTGCTCTTTGTGGAATCTGGATTATTTGGATCTTTGGGCTTGAAGCAGTTTAGAAAGTTTGGCCTCCAACTGGAACTTCTCAAGATACCCATTTTTTTGGTGAAAAGGCTGCTTCTTTTTTTTGTTTCCTTTGGTGGTTTGTTCCAAAGGGGGGTTTTTGTGCTTAGGATTTGTCTAATTGCTTGTTGGGTATTTATAGACTTGGCTAAAACAAAATATTGTTAAGTGGGGAAAGGGGAAGGAAGAAAGAAGGGGAGGGAATGAGGTGGACCAAATAGTAACTTGTTGGAATTAATATAATGGTTTTGAAACTTAATATAGAAAAGAAGGTGGCCAGTTGGTTTTTCTTTTCTCTTTGTTGTCCAATGTGATTATTTCATAAAGATTTATATTTATGTTTTTATATGATCTTCCATTGAGATGGGGTAGCTTGTTGATGACTCTCTCTAAGAAGCAACCATCTCTACTTTCAATTTTAAATATTGCCCCCATTTTTACTTGTTCTTACTTGTTTTCTTTCTCACCCTATTAGGAAGGAGGCGATGCACCATTTTTCTTCCAATTTTGTGTAACTCCCCCTTGCCATTTCTTGTTTTCTTTTCTTCCAAGTAGAGAGAAGTTTACAATATTTTGATGAGAAGTCATTCATAGAAATTGGAAGAAAATCATGTTTAAAAGCGAACAAGGATTTAGTCTATTGGTAATATCACTTGTTTGAATTTGGAGTTTCCAAACTCGAATTACTTTAGTAGCACCTAACAACAAAAGATAAACACATATATCACCCTTATAAAAAATCGGGTTTAAAAAGAGATAGATCTAAAGTTTTAATTTCTATTTTCTCAACACTTTGATTTCTTGAGACACTTAAATTTTCAAATAGTACGTACGATATCATATTATATGATCAAACGGGTCTTTTATTGAAATTTCGATAATGTTAATATAATATTTGACTTAAACTCACTATTTAAATATCCTTGTGTGCTAGAATTGTGTGAGATTACTTAAAACCTAAACTTCCAAACAAGTTTATTTGATAGAATAAATCAAATTTGATATACAACATAAAATTGACACTTAATACCTCTTTTAAAATTTTCTATTTATTAAGACATATGCACTATTTGCTAACATAATATCGAAGTATTTGATAATCCACATGAAACAATAAAATTACCGACAAGATTAAAATCGAGACGATTGAAACATTAAACTCGCCTGAATTGATCCATATATAGCCTCCTAAATCCCTACACAAGTTTCCTTGTGGGTCGGGTAGACACATCGTGTAGAGAAGAGTGGAGTCTTCCATGGCTACATTCTTGACTTTGAAATGAGAAAAGCCTGAAAGTCAGTTAATAAACTCTGTAGTGGATTGGTCCACGTCCACAAGTATTACGATAATATTACTAATTAATCAAATAAAAGTCATGGTCCGATCCCTTTTCTGCTATTTGGCCTTATGATGTTGGTAAAGGTGTGTGCTGAATACGTTCTTGCTTCAGTTTCCGGCGCACCATTTTTCACACTTAATATGTTAGAATATAGTAACCAATGCTTCAAACTTCAAAGGCCACAATAGGCTCACAAAGTGGACTTAGGTGTTAACAAGAGCTTGATAGATCATCAGAGAGCTCATTCGTTGCAAAATTGATCATGAATGGCAGGGACGGAGCCAGGATTTTATGGTAGGAGGGGCCAACGAAATTTTGTTTCGACACAAATATTACATTCAAAATATATGCAAGATTTTTATAAACAAATGCATATAATTATGTGCAATCTAAACATCATTATATATACATATATCTCGTTTGAAGTATTTTATCATGTAACATATTATTTTTTACAGTTTGTAATTGAAACTTCGAATATATCATAACCGTAAGAACAAAATAAAAACACGATAAAATTTCACTTAAAAATTACGTAAAATTCATATTAAAATGTGAAATAAACTGAAAATGGACATTTCAAAACTTGAAATCACATGAGAAAGCATGAAATTTCCCCTAAATTGTGACGTAAAAACGCATAAAAATATGAAATATCGGACTTTGGTATGTTGAAAAATGAAAGTACATGGAAAATGAAGGAAATGTGGGAATCGAACCCTAACCCTTTCTTTGGGGGATTAAAGATTCACTCCACTACTTTTCAACCAACAGGCTAGTTAAGGATATTGAATTTATCTAGCCACGTCTACATTAATACAAATCCAAAATTTTAGGAGGGGCCATGGCCCCTCCTTTCTCTAGGTTGGCTCCGTCCCTGATGAATGGTTTGAGCTCACGGTCGTGTAAAATTAGTACATGTTCATCATAAAATTTTCTCGTTGGAAAACAATATAACTATTCATTTCTTTCTTCATATTGATGTAGAAGTTTGTATTTATGAATATGATCTTTTGTATTTGTGAACAAATAATCCGTAGAAATATAATTGATTTATTATTGATGTGGCGGTAGATACTCAATGGACTATTTGAATTTGTACAATGAATAGTTGTATATGTCTTTTGTTGACGTCTCGGTTCATCGATCCATTTAATATTTTTATTCAAAATTTACATGTTTGTTAAATTTTATTTTACTAATTATAGATATACTAATGATTAAATATGCAGGGTGTATATATAACCACAATATCTGTAACGTTAGAGGATGATGTTGTTAAACCTCTCATCACGTGAGTACGAGTAGGGATGGAATATCATATCCGACCCAGCAGATTTTTCCTAATCCGAACCGTGATGGGGCGGATAGAATCCTACCCGCCTTAGAACAGGGTGGATCTCGACCCGCTCCGTTGTTATTACAGGTCGGACATGGATCTTCACAGCTAACCCACTCTGCTCTGCTTCGCTTCGCCCCATCATATAGTCCCTACGAAGCTCAACAAAAAGACCCAGTCCTAGACACTCATTTCACTCGACGCGATTCATATTCTCATAGAGAGACCTAGCTAGCTAGCGATCCTCATTCCATCAATGACCATGAATAAACCCTGCACCTGAGAAACTTATCTTCCCAAAATCCAATCCAACCATCCCATACCCACCCTATGTCTTCATCATCGATTCATCTTCCATTCTTCCTCCCTCAATTCCCAAGGACTCCTTATGTCCTATAATTATATGTATAACAGAGAACTGAAGACGAATGACTCGCTTAGAGCTACTGCTACTCCCTTCTTCATCATTCTCTTCTTCTTCTTCTTCTTCTTCTTCTTCTTCTTCTTCTTCTTCTTCTTCTTCTTTCAACAAAGCCATTGGAGGGGAACCAAAGAAAGTAAGGAAGCTCACTTATTTCCAGCAAGGCAGTCAACACGACTACGGTTTTAAGTAAAATCAATCCCCTATTTCTCTATTGTTATGTTTGGAATGTTTATTGTGAGTGAGATTTCTCCGGTTCATGACCATATTGAAGTAAATGAATTGCCCATCTTGCACTTTCTGATTGTGCAGTACATGGACAAGGAGGGACTTGTAAAACAGGGTCCTTAAACTGATTCTACGATTCTGGGTTTAGAGGAAACATCTTCCCTACCTCAACCTGTTGCTCCTCAACATGACGTTACACATGTAGTTGCTGAAGCCCCCCCCCCTGCAAATACAGATGATCAGGAGAAACACAAGGGTTCTACCTTTGGTAAGGTGTTTTGAGAGTGGTAGAAACACTACAATAAGATGAGAGTGGATGGAAAGCCAAAAGCCGAGTGCAAGTACTGTAAGAAGAGGCTTGTTGGAGACCCATCAAAAGGAACAACTCATCTGAAGAATCATTACCATCGATGTCCTAAAGTGAAGCGGCCTGGAGATATAAAGCAACAACTCCTACAAGGAAATCTGAACAAGGAGAAATTCCAGTTGACACTGTTCAACTTCAGCCAAGAGAATTCTCGAAAGGGATTGGCTCATGCAATTATAAAGCATGAGTATCCTCTCTCAATCGTGGAGCATGAGGGTTTTAAGAGTTATAGCATGAGTTTGAATCCACTGATATGTGGACATGAAAAACAAGATGCAATGGAGCTTTTGAGGAAGAACGAAGGTCTAATGGCAATAACCACTGATATGTGGACATCTTCTCAAAAGAATGGTTTCATGGCAGTGACTACACTCTATATCGATAAGAATTGGACTTTATAAAGTCGAATTATTAGGTAATTTGTTGTGTTCATTCCCTTAAAGTCTATGATTACTAAGTTGTATTCCCTTATTATAATATGTGAGTACTAATGGTCTACTGCCTTGTTTTACAGTATGTGTAAAGAGATGTGATTATTCCTTACTTCAATGATTACTACTGCCTTTTGAAATTTGATGTTATTACTTTCACTATTGCTTTGTGATCTCTACCCAATACTATTGCCTTGTATAATTACTATCCAGAACATGTTTAAGTTTAATTGAGTTGACTGTTTATTTGTACTACTTCTTTGTAATTACAACTCAGAAGTAAGATAACGTTTGAATCACTGTTGCTGGCTTGTTACAATTGTGATTACTTTAGGTTTATTTCCTCCTTGTAAATGTAATTACTTCCTTGTAATTACAGCTCAGAAGTCAGATAACATGTTTAAATTTATTTGAGTTGATGTGATTATTGTACTTGTACTCCTTCCTCGTGATTACTACCCAACACTACTGCCTTGTAAATATAATTACTACCCAGAACATGTTTAAGTTTAATTAAGTTCAATTAAGTTCACTATTTATTTGTGCTTCCTTGTAATTACTACTCAGAACATGTTTGAATCCCTGCTTGTTACAACTGTTTCAGTTTAATTAAGTTCACTCATTTTTATTTACAGGTTCATTTATGTACCTTTCCCACGCACCAGTGAAGTAAGTACTTTGTGAAGCTTTGTTTCATTGTATAGTGGATTGGAACCTCGGCCATAGATTATCAACTGTCAAGGTTGATAACTGCTCGACTAATAACGCAATGATGAGCCGACTGATCGAGAAGCTTCCTTTACATTCTCTCTTGAACAATGGAAGCATGATTCATATGAGGTGTTATGCACACATATTGAATCTCTTTGTCAAAGAAGGTCTTAAGGTGATTGGAGATGACATTGACAGTATTAGAGAGAGTGTTCATTTTTGGTTGGCGACACCAAAGAGATGGGAAAAGTTTGTGGAGAATACTCGGCCGCTTGAGGCAGCACGTGTGATTCGTAGTCAAAATGGTAAGAAGCTTATACTTGATTGTGGCACTAGATGGAATTCAACTTATCTAATGTTGAATACTGCTTTGGGGTATAAATAAGTTTTTCATCGGTTAAGAAATCGGGAGCCAATGTACAAATGCTTGCCTACTGAAGATGATTGGAATTTGACTGAAGAAATCTGCAGTAGGCTAAAAAAATTTTATATTGCAACTGAAATTTTTTCTGGCACTAAATATCCGACTACCAACTTATATTTTGAAGAAGTTTGTGAGCTTAAGATTGCTTTAAGGCAGTGGTGTGCTTGTGGAGTTGAAACCATTGAAACTATGGAAATGAACATGTTGGAAAACTTTGACAAGTATTGGTCCGAGGTGCATTCTTTAATGGGAGTTGGAGCTATACTTGATCCAAGGTATAAGGCTGAAGTAATGGATTGCTACTTTCCCGAGATTTATGGTGGGGATAGTAAGGTGTAGAAGGAGAAGCTGATTAGTATATGTTGTAAGTTAGTTGAAGACTATGAAGAGAAGGAAAGAGAGCAAGATAAAGTAAATGATGGGGTTCCCATGGACAGTTCAGGAGCTGCTCCAAGTAAGAAGGAAGCATCAAGCAAATTTGCTATATATGCTTCTAGAAGGAAAAGGACGCCTACTAGATCAGAACTGGATTGTTACTTGGAAGATGGAATTATATCCAACACACCTTATTTTGATGTTTTGTGTTGGTGGAAGTCAAATAGAAGTAAATATCATATATTGCAATTAGTACAAGTGGAAGGGTGATTTCTTCTCATCGAAGTAGGTTGGATCCAAATACTGTAGAATATTTAATGTGTGCTCAAAGCTGGTTGCGTGCTATTTCTCAAGCTCAAGGTAATTATCACAATTCCAAGTGTTTATTTCTTCACATATACATAATCTATGAATCATTCTAACTGATTTATACATGAGTGCAGCTGGTTCCACTACACATAAGGCCTCACATGGTACTATACTTGAGGATTCTGATGGAGAGGAAGGGAATGATCCTGAGGTGGCGATCCATAACATTTTTCTTTTCAATTACAACATTTTTTGGCTGTTTGGCTATTTCATGAGTGTTTGGTTGTTTCCTTTTTCAATTTCACCTACAGCTATATTTGACTTGTTCATGTTTTATGCATATATGTGTATGTGCAGGCTAATGGTACGCAAAGTTTTTGATAATGGTGAGCAATATATTAAGAGAAGAACAAGCAACAAGTGTACAAAAAAGAACCCAGAGCCAGGTCATCACCAGAGAGGAGGTGTTTGTTGTTATGCAGACTGAGGAAGGCTAACTGGATGCTTCGTCTCATCATCTGTTGCATGAAGTTTGAAGACTGAAGTTTCCAGATTATTCAGTTGATCAACTTCTGTTATGTTCTTATGATTTATGCAATCACTTTTTGGATCGGATTTCAGTTCTTAGAGGATGCTTGAGAGTTTATTTTGGGTGATGATGAATTGAATTTGAAATTTTCTTTATGGATTATATGTTATATCACATATTAAGTAGCTATTTTGATGAATGAATGGATATGCAAAATTAAAGGCTGGGAACTGAAAATGGGACAGGAGTGCAGGGTTGGTATATGATGCATTGTTGTTAGTACATGTGTGTAAATGAGAATGGGGTAGCGCGGGTTTTACCCGCCCCGTGCGAGGCACAACCTGGGTAAAAAACAACGACCCGTTGTGGGTCGCAGGGCGGGGCAATGGATACGAAGGCAGGGCACGGGTTTAGGGATACCTGCCCCAAACATGACTCGTTCCCATCCCTAAGTACGAGGTGTGTATGAATTTATATATTTTTAATTAGGACGGAGATAAGATGGTTTAGAGATCTGACCTCAAACCGCCCCATTTTCATCCTTACTTCAATCAGTCTTACGGTTCTTTAATGTTTACTTTGGACTTTACTTTATTTCCTTATCCTTTTTTCTGTTATTTGATTGGTCGGAAAAGTCTTTTGTATTATTTCGTATCTTAATGTTCTTTTTGATATATGTATGGAAAAAAGAAACTATTGACTTAATCCCATGGTTTCTCCTTCTCCGGATTATTGTTTGTTGGTTTTGCACAAAATGATGATATATATTTCCAACATCTATATAAAATAAATTCAAAGCAAATTTTGCTTTAATAAAAAAAAAAAAAGAAGATGAACAACTACAAGAGGGACATAACCACATGTTCAAACCGTGGAGCATGCAATTTGTTTTTATCAAATATAGTACATTTTACTATATGCTTTAATAACACCAGTTGTCACTAAAAGTGACTCAAAACATTGTTCTAAATTTTCCTAAACAAAAGCTCATTGACCTAACTTGATCATATTTTTACATATTCATGGTATGTGGTATTGGAATCAACCATGAAATATATATTGATATTAAAGTATCAATCTGATCGAACCCGACAACATATTTTCCATCTCTATCACAAGGACAATACTATTATGCTTTAATTATTTATTTTATATTTTTTCATTCCAATTGATTGGTCATCGTCCTGACAAAGAAGAAGTAGGAACCTTAGATTAAACTTTGCCTTCACCCGGGTTTTAGAATTATTTTTCGGCTTCAACTTTTGAAACAGGGTCAAACATCTCTAAAAGTTCGGTTTTTGAAAAGCCGAAAAGTGTTTTTGTATAACATAAAAATAGAAGCTCCAAATTGGAACTTCTGCGAAAAGCTGTTTTGAAATACAAGATTATTCTTGTCATTTTAATTTTATTTCATTGATATTATTTTAAAAATAAAATAAAGTATAAAATCATATTATTTAATATAAATGAAGTCTAACAAGATCCATTTTGAATAAATTTTATTTTTTTATAATTATTATTCATAGTTTATATTATAAGTCATTTATAGTCATTTTACACAACCTCTCATATTAAAAAATACTTTTAATAAATTTTCAACCAAACACTTAACTGCTTTTTTTTGGAAAAGTACTTCTCTAAAAGTTCAAGCCAGAAGCTGCTTCTGCAAAAGCTACCGCAAGGGCAAACTGAGCCTTTGAATATATTAAGTTATTGTATGTCGAGGAGCAACAATAACGGGTAAATTGCAAGGTTGGTCACTCGAATTACTAAAAACATTCATGTTTGGTCACTAAAAATAGTTAATTCCGTTCATGGTCACTAAAATTTGTTAAACATTTCAAGTTTGGTCAATCTCCGTTAGTCTCCATCAGTCTCCATTAACACCGTCAATATTTTGTTGACATGGCTAACAAAAACGCTGATTCACTTGGATTTGTGGGGTTCGTTGGTTGGTGTGGGTGAGGTATTGGAGTGTTGATGGGTCTTTCGAAATCGGGAGAACTGGGACTTTTGGGCGGAATGAGAGTTGTTGGGCTTGAGATAATGTGATGTAGAAGAAAAGAAGACAAGAAATTAGAAGCCGAGTAGAGGGGAAAGGCAGAGCCATGTTTGATTTGGTGTTTATGGTGAGATGGGCAGACGGGTTTCTTTCCATATAATGTCTAGGGTTGCAGCGAGCGGCAGCGGTGGATTGGAAATGGCGCCGACGATGGAGGGTTAGCGAAGTGAGGGGTTGGGTGATTGTTGGAGATAAGCAGAAAAGCTCTCGGGTCACGGGTTGGGTTACTGGTTGGGTTAGGGTTGTGGTTATATGACATGGCGGGTTATAATGATGTGGCGGGTCGGGTTTAGATTTTTTCGGGTTAAATTAGACTTACTAGGCGATTTTGTTTGGCACATCAGCAGATAACAGATTCAATTAACGGAGAGTGACCAAACTTGAAATGTTTAACTAATTCTAGTAACCATGAACGAAATTAAATATTTTTAATGACGAAACATTAACGTTTTTCGTAATTTCAGTGACCAACCTTGCAATTTACCCCAACAATAATCTTGCACAACTTCCAAAAAATAGTTAAAAATGCATAAAAATCTTGTAAAAAAAATTGACAGCAC